TCACGACCCCCGCCTCAGACGAGCGGTGCCGCAAAAACCAAGTCCGGGAAGCCCAAGATGGCTATCTTCTCAGACGCTGACTCTGCTGCGCCGGGCCCCGCAACTGGTGGGTCGACAAAGGGATGGGAAAGCATTGGGTCGATTCGGGACCGCAAGAAGGAGAACGAAGTGGAAGCAAAGCCGTGGGCAGGAGAAACATTGAAGGCTGGGAAGAAAGCTGCGCCAACACAAAAGATGGCTATCTTCAGGGACGAGGTGAGTTTCCACTCCTGGTTGCCCTTCCCCTCTTCAGACCTCCACATATTTACGATCACAGGACTAATTGCTGGCATGAACCTATGGTGTTTTATTATGTATTCAGTCCAATCCAGATCTTCCTTCCAAAGAACCAATGCCACCCAAAGAAGTGCCCGAACATCACGTAAGGGAAGCGATTAACCCGCGGACCGGCCGACGCGAACGTGTATTTGTCGACCTGGAATCCGTATACCCTGACCGCACAAACCCTGCACATGAGATGAGTTTTGAAGAGCTCAGGGCCATCAAGCGCGGTTGGATGGGCAAGAATTGGCGGCAACAGAAAGAGCCCTTGCAACAGATCTCCGGGAATGCTGGCAGTACCGAGTCCCTATTAGGAAAATCTCACTCACCAGAGGAATTGCCGGAGCATCTAGGCCAAAATCTCACCGCAGCTAATCATACCCAATCTCAACATCAAGACGAAGGTCATGGAGGCAAATCTGGCAAAGCGAGCCGCACCAAGATCAAAGGAGAAACAACACAAACACAAACCGGTTAGTAGTAAAAGTCTTTCATCCCTTGGCAGGCTCAACTCACACCCGTGCAGTCAAAATGAAGTTTGACTCCCCGTCCAACAATAAGAAGGTCCGGCGAAAGAGTACTCGAGAACCGACAATGACCATGCACACTCGTGCAGCGACGGATGAGATTTATGGCATTTTCAACCAGCCATTGAAGGCAGAGACTGAAGATGACGCAGATAGCTTCTGCGGTAGCGATTACGAAGATGACGACTGTGCCAGTACTGGAGACAGTACAGGCACAGGGCACCTCTCAGCGGCCTCAAGCGACTTTGGAGACGAAGAGACCCAAACATTCCACAAATCCTACGATGACACCGACTATGCAAACACCACACGAGCTGAGAGCGTTGATGGCGATGGCAGCGATTGGACAGAGTTCAATCCTGATCGTGATATTCCGGATATCGAAAATGCTGAAGTCACCTCACATTCTGTCGTGAGTGATGGAGCGGAAGGTAGTTCGACACAAGGAACACCGGAGCGAAAAGGTTTCATACCAGAAATGCCCGAGGACTATGCTCCCCCATGGGGGACCTACCGTGACCCTGCGATCATGGCCCAAAACCGCCTTCCCTTCATGACACCTATCGTGGAGCGAACGGAATCCATTGCTTCTTTGACAGCCGCTCGAAAGAGCATTTATGACGCGAAAACGCCTTCGAAGCCTCGATCACCGGCCGGTAACTTTTTGCTTTCTAGTCCACTGGGGATAAATACGCCATACCATGGAGATCATACTCTTGCGTCTACGGCTGACGTACCGTTCAGTCCCACGGCCTTCAAGGCCCTCGCGCCCAAGCTACGGAGACGGGAAGCAATAATTAGGGATGCGCAGTGCAATCCAACTGACAAGGGCATTCGCAACACGATTCTCAATTCCCTGGAAAAGCCACTTGCGACATACACAGGGTATCACGGTCATGTTGAAGATAGCAACTATGCTTCTATGATCCAGAAATTCGTCAAAACTAACACCAGGCGATCAAAGAGTGGCGGAAATGAGGCATTTGACATGCCTATCCTCGAGTTTCCAGGAGCGGAACGAAGCTACATTATCAGGCGTGAGCTAGGAGCCGGTGCATATGCCCCTGTCTACCTCGCCGAGAGTGTCGACAGTCTTGAATCCTACGACTCCGACTCCGACGATGGCGCAAGCCCTAACGGCAAAACTTCCCAACTGAGAGAGTCGAACGCTTATGATACTCCCCGGCTCCCCTTCGAAGCAGTCAAAGTCGAAAACGGACCATCAAGTGCATGGGAGTTTTACATGATCCGCACAGCATATAGCCGTCTGCGACAATCTACGGCTCATTCTCGCGCCACCGATAGCATTGTTCGCGCACACGAATTGCATGTCCACCAACGCGAAAGCTTCCTAGTGGAGGACTATCGAGGACAAGGCACCATACTTGACCTCGTCAACATTGTCCGCAATGAAGCCATCAACCCCAACCATACTTCTGAGGGCGGCCTCGAAGAGATTCTAGCAATGTTCTTCTCCGTCGAGCTATTCCGCACCGTCGAAGCACTCCACGCTAACGGCGTCCTCCACGGCGACATCAAAGCCGACAACTGTCTCGTCCGTCTAGACGACCACAACCCCAACGAACCACCCTCCAAGGCCCTCTCCCTGCTCGACCTTGATGCCGATGAAACTGCATTCGACCCCCGCGAAAGCATCCACTATTCCCCAAGCGGCTCCAACGGCTGGCGTCAAAAGGGCCTGGCCTTGATTGACTTTGGCCGCAGCATCGACATGCAAGCTTTCTCGCCAAACGTGCAATTCATGGCCGACTGGAAAACCGGTACGCACGAGTGCAACGAAATCCGCGAGATGCGCCCCTGGACCCACCATATCGATCTGTACGGTATTGCCGGCGTGATCCACGTCCTGTTATTCGGCAAATACGTCGAATCCACCCCCATCAACAGTAATGAAGAAAACGCATCATCCCGCACCTATCGTATCCGCGAGTCTCTGAAACGATACTGGGACCGTGAACTCTGGGCTGGTGTCTTCGATCTCTTGCTGAATCCCGGTGCCGAGCGCTGGCAGCGCATCGAGCGCGAGAATGGAGCCGATGCAGGTCTGTCATCTGCACCTATTCTGCCTGTCTTGCACTCCATGCGGCATGTCCGTCGTGGCATGGAGGAGTGGCTCCTTGCCAATGCTGAGAAGAAGGGTCTTTCTCTTCAGATTCGGAAGATTGAGGCTCTACTTGCTGAGCGGAAGAAGAAATTGGAGAAGTGATTTTCTTTTGGTTCGTTTCTTGTTGTGTTGAATTGCCTGATTGCAGATATTTTTATAACTTATACCCCCATTTTCTGCTTTTTCGTGTTACCTGTTCCCTGTTGCTTGTCACTCTTATTCTACTATTGTTTGTTGATGTACTTGTCTGATCTGCAGATAATATTTGATATTGATTCTTCATTACATTAAGGCCAGCTATTCATTGACGAATACAAGTACCTTGAGCTCCTCTTGCTCACTTCGGGTTGTTGAGGGCTTTTGACAAGTAGTCTATCATTTGCTGGACTGTGACTCCTAGTATAGCAAGCTTAGGTTATGTGGATAAAATAGAGCTTACCTCGCTAGTATAAATGGGACCTAAGGCTGATCAAGGCTGGAATCAAAGAGCATGTACAATTCGTAACATGTGTACAAGCGAGACCGAGGAATATAAGGGGCCTATCCGCCGCTGCCAATGATGCCTGCAAAGTGCATTTGAGAGTGATAAAAGTGTAGCCATGTGTGCAAGAATAAGGGACACAGGTACGAGTTACCAGGCAATCGGTAACCTACAACCGAAAAAAGGGATGAAAATGGAAAAGATGATACTTCAATTGGCGGATTAGTTTGATCAAACAAAGCAATTGCTCTAAAAGATCAATCCGCGCAGGAGAAAGATAAATCAGGAAAAAAATAGATAAAACGGCCAAACTCTCACAAGCTCCAGAGTAAGATCACAAAGATCCAGAAAAACAGGCTCTGAAAAAAAAAAAAGACAGACAGACATACGCCATGAGACGCAGAAGAGGCAAGGAAATGACCAGAGAGAAAAAAACACGCGATTATCCGAATGCAAACCCAATAAGGCTCGCCACAAGGGGAATCATGGAGCACGAGCTGAATCAAATCGAGAATCGAAAGCATGGGGTAAATCGTGGATCACAAATCGAGAAGTAGAATATTCCGGGGAAATCAGCTTCAAGATTGAGATCATGAAATGCGAATTAGGAAGAAAATGGGACCGCTGGCAAAAGAAAACCAAACACCTCGCTTGCGTATCAGGGATGTCATTGGTCAACTGCAATATTCATGCGCGTTCGTTTCGTTTCAGTTCGTCTATGTATTTGCATATGTATCGTTGCACATTCGCTTTTGGGGGGTGCATTGCCATCGATGTTGACTGACGATGGTCAACATAAAGGCAGGGAGTCGTTTCCATGTGTGACGGGTAATTCGAAAGGCGACCATTATCAAGTCGGGCCGCATCTCCAGGATGACATGGGAAAGGTATGCCGTACTATGTAGGAGATTCGGGGATGAACGACTGGACAAAAGGTCTGAGAAAAGAAGATAAAAGGAAAAGTGTAAGGAGCGTGGGTCGCAAAGATAGCGAATGATTGCTGGTTGGTGACAGCAGATATGGGGTTTTGGTTGTTTTCATATTTTTTTGTGTTTTGGGGTTATTTTATTCGAGGTGAAAGCCCCGTTGAAAAAGAAAGAAATGAGTTGAGCGAACGAATGATGAAACTGCATCGAGAAAATGCCTGTTTCACCGAGTAAAGGGTACGAAACAGAACCACACACGTGGTGGTTGTTGTTACAAGACCAACGAGCTCAAGGTTCGTAGGCAGGTAACCAACAGCCGGAGGCCGATGTACTCTGGGTTTCGACCAATTGAAAAGTGGAAAGACCCATCACTGTTTTTTGTTTTTTTGTCGTTGGGGTTCAGTATTGCGATTTTGAGGGTTGAGCTTGAAAAAGTCTCAAACGTATCGTTACAGTCGTGGATGGTGTTGCTGTCGTAAAAAGGCTGGAAATGCAAGGGCTGTAGCAGGGCCCTGTCGGTATCTCGTTCAAATCATTATGCAAAGGGGATAAAATCTCGCAAAGAAATCGACGCCACGATGAAACGGATACTTGGAAATTCGACAGCAAAAGAGCGCAACTTAGTTGCGTGTAAAGGGCATATTCAAGATTTGCCGACGGATGCGCTCGGCATCAGAAAGGCCGTCCTCTGAAGCATTGTATGGCAAAGGGCCCGGCACTTTGTTATGTACTTGAGCCGGAGAAACCTGCATGGGAGAAGTGCTGTCATCACGCCTGGTGTGTGAAGGGCCACCGCTCAAGAACGGATCAGACAGCGCAGGTGCTTGTCTAGTGACTCGCTTCGGGGCTTCGCGGCGCTTGAATCCTCCTTCGATCCGGAAGGGTGAGCCAAGACGTTTGATGTTTTCGCCAAGGTCCAATAATGGGTTTATGGGCGGCTTCAGAACAGGTGTAGTCTCCTCGGGCTCAATTGGGCCTGAGTTGAGAGACGAGGGCGGTGAGAAAAGCTGGTCCATATCTCTGGGATTGACAGCACTCGTGGTAGCTCCACGATTGCGAACGCGGACCCGACCATGGCCCATATCTTGGAACTTGTTATCGCGAACATAATCCTCCAAACGACGTTCAACTTCTTGATCGGAAGGATTCTTCTGCTCCCTGGATACGCTCGCGAATACATCGTCGGTATCGGGCACAGACTGGTCTAAGTATGTGTTGCGTCGGGCACGGTAACCCGGAACATGAACGGTCCCACGTCGAGCATTGAGATCATGGATTTGACGGCTTGATCCACCGGGGCCCCAAGTGCTATACACGAATGGGGATCCCAGGCGAGGGATGCTAGGGGCAGATCCGGTACGGAGATGTTGACTAGGGGTCTTGGCCACTGGTGGCTCGACATGAGCAGGTACAGGGTTGTTAAACCAGTCCGTAGTCAAGGGCAAGTCTTGTGTAACCTGAGAAAGTGGAGTCGGCTCGGAGGCGACAAGAGAAATTCCGAGGTCACGAGTAGTGTAGGCAGAGTTATCAGCAAAGTCTTTAACGCGGGTATCCGTAGGAGGGCCAAACATCTCCGTGATAGGCTCGGGAGTGCGAGACTGCATTATGCGCTGATAGTGAGGAGAAATGGAGAATTTGCGTCGACATAGCATCTTCAGGCGTCGTCGAGTCTTGGAGTCAGACTTGGGCCAGCCTGGTTGCACCTCCTCGTCCACAGCCTTGGGTGTAGAAATTCCCTTGGATTCAACAGACTTCATCGAGATAGATTCAACGATGCGACTGCTCTTTTGCCCCCATGTCTTCTTGGCGCGTCGCGCAACACGTGAGGTGACTCCCAGAGGAGGGATACTACCAGGGGTCATCTTGAATGGGGTCATAGTAGGGTCCTGAAGATAGATTTGGTAGGTATTCCATAAGTGGGTATCCATGTCGCGAGTCCAGGACTTCTTGGACACTTTGACATTCACCGACTGCTTCTGGGGTCGCGAAGGCGACTCAATCTCAGGTTCTTTAGACATCTCCAAAGGGAAGTAAGAGTCAAACAAATCGCTCTCGACACTGGTGAAACTTCCTACAGACGGTCGGGATGCGAACGTTTCAATGGATTCAACTGAAGAATTTGACAAAGTCGAGCAAGCCGAGTCTGGGCGCTTGATGTCATTTGGGCCAGGTGTCTGGTCCCAAGATGGCCATGTACGTTCAGTGTCGCAGGAGTCGAAAGGCGTACCACGGATCTGCGCAGGTGGCGTCTTAAAATCCCTTCGCGCGCGAGGGGGGCAAGATATCCCTCATCGTTGGCAAAATCACGGAATAAAGGCGCCTCGAGGTCGGTGGTCGGTTGGGGCACTTCAATTGAAGGCAGGGGAACATCAGAGCCGTGGAATTGGAACATATCCATGTCCATGCGAGCGCAGACATTGGTACCGGCACGAGCCCGAACTCTAGGCAGACGGCCGCTGGAGATTGAATGACGAGGTGGAGGAGGCACATTCATGGTGGTGCTAGGGCGCTCGGGAGTCTTGGGTTCATTGTCGCCGAGGGAGAAGGTAAAGTTCTTCGGCAGAGTACGCGAAAGTTGACGTTGAGCCATGATGGCGATCTTGCGGTCTTGCGAACCGCAGAATGTTGGTCAATGCGACTTCTGGGAGGAACTGGTGGACGTGTCGAGGTGGAGAGTAAGTGAGTACGGCGCGACTTCGAGTCGAAGCGCGCAGCGTCGCGTCAATATCGTGAATCGTGAAGGGGAGAAAAAAAGGAAAATACAACGAGAGCAGAGGAACGTGAAAGAATAAAAAAAACCGAGGTCTCGGTGTGCGTGATGTGCTTCCTAAGGAATGCGGCAACTTGAAATCGGGGATCACCAGATCACATCTGCGGCTCCATCCCGTCCGAGTAGTAGGGAATGAAGGATTTCGTCATTACCCGAAAAAAAAAACACAAAAGAAAAAGACAGTCTCCTCAAGCGGAGACGGGTGCGAGAAAATATCTCGCGATAATGGTAGTAAGGGTTGGTAGAGAGAGAGAGAAAGAGGAAGAGGAAGATGGGGGAGGATTGGGCGTAGGGTGAGGCGTGCGGGAGTGGGGGGTACTTGGTACCTGTGCTCCCGTGGTGAACTGCCTACTGGACTTGGTACACTATACTTGTGTGCTTCAACGGCCCACTGCGAAAATCTTATGCGTTGTTCGCAGCTAAAAATTTTGCTATAGGAACTTTTCTTTGGTCTTCAAATTGTTCAATTGTCTTCTTTGCAAATGTTTAGATCTTCTCGAGTCTTTCCTATAGTGTTTGGTGGACACAGGCCTTGCTTAATGCATGCACTGTCGACAAATAATTTGGGGTCTTGGAAGGAACATTGGGAGGTAAGGACACCTTGAATCACCGGTGCTTTTTTTTTACTCTAGGGTATGAAGGTACCCGTTGACAACATAGGCTGTAGGCTGTAGGCTGTACGGAGGGAGTGCTCTGTATGCCTCATAAATGAGGGGGCTGGTGGGATCAGGTACCATGTACTCCGTACATATGGTAGATCGGTGCTCCATCTTCGAGACATTGTCTCCAGCCGTTCACTCTATAGCTGCAAGGGCTTGTACAGAACAGAACGGCCAGGCTGCGTATAGAAGTGCAGCTGATGGTCTGCACTGATATTCTTCAGCTCAATTTTCCTTTTTTTTTTTTTTCTCCCTTCCAATCATAGAGTGGACCTCGAAAAGCAAAGCTCTTTCATAATGAATTGGTTTGTTGCGTTCAAAGGAAACTCAGGTACGGGTACCTGGGTACCGTCGATCGGTCACATTTTCTCATTGTGCGGTCTGGAGCCCAAAGACCCATATAACCCCATTGGGGGAGGAGGTTGGAGCTTCACGTTCTCTGACGCGCGACGCGTCCAACACACGTGTTGAAAATTACTGTATAATTACTGTATAATTACCAGTCACGTGTCAATCTAGAAATCTATTCCTATTGTGTGACTTGCATATGCACCAAGCATTGAAATATGATGTGTCCACATGTTAAATTCTCCGACTTATATTTAGTATTGGGAGATCTCATCTCGCTTACAATGGATAGCCACAGTATACCCGCAGAACTGTGGACCAGATGCCAATCAACTCCACTTTTGAGCCGAGTCTCACAATATACGGAGTACTAAGACTTGGACTCGACTTTTTTGGAACTTGATAATATTCAAAGGGGGTACTCAAAATCCGACCCACAGCTTACAAGTAACATCGTTTCCATGAAACACCACCCTGGCCATATCCAATATGTATAGAACAAACAGGGGATGCCCTGCTGAGATCCATCCACTACTCTCCTAGGAAAGCTAGGTCAACCTCTGACTCCCGCGATCGGAACATAAGCTGAACTCTTGGGTCCGCAATAGACTCGAACCCATTTTCAATGTTCAGAGGTCGACCGCCGCTCTCCAGTTTCCAATCGTACTTCAGGAGCAAATGGAGGAGCAGAATCTTGGTTTCATTGGCAGCGAAGAATCGGCCAGGGCAGGCGTGGATACCATGGCCGAACACGAAGTGCTCGGGTGACGTCGCGACAAACTGGTGTTTGTGTTCGTTGCCGGGCTGCTGACGTTTGTTGTAAAATCGGTAACCATCATAAGTGGCAGCATTAGGGTAGACACTGTCATCCTCCAGTATTTTCGTAGAAACGAAGACGTTGGCGCCTTTAGGGATAACAGTTCCATCGGAGAGCACAACTTGCTCAAGGGCGAGGCGGTTCATAGAGGCTGTGGAGTGTCAGCAGGTCATTCTTTCAAGCAAAACTTGTTTTGAACGAATAAACATCGAAAGACCGTGGATAACTTACCGAGTGAGACTGGGTGGGTACGCTGCGACTCCTTCATCACACTGTCCATCAACTTCAGCTTGAGCAAACTACTCTTCTTCAGAGTTCCATCCTCGGCAGCAACCGCACGAATCTCATCACGCAACGGCTGGATGTACTCTGGGTACGCCGCAAGATCATACATGACGTTGGTTAGCAAGTTCGACGTGGTATGAGTGGCTGCCAGCGCCAATCCAACCTGAGCAACAGACTGGTCAAAGGTCAAGTTATTCCGAGCTTCGGCAGTCTCGCGATACCAGTCCATAGCATCAGGTCCACGGGGTGGATCCTCTGCAGGGAGCTTGCCCGCGCGGATCAACGCCCGCCTGTCTAGCTCGCGGCTGATGATGGAGCGAGCCATTTTCAAGTGCGTGCGTAGCTTTCGGGTAGAGGGCAAGAACCAGTGTACGACCGGATGGAGGACGGATGGCCATCCTCGTAGATCGCGCATAGCTATAAATGAATCGATGGCATAATTCACGGAAACATCGATCCACTCATCATCGCGGGAGATGGTCTCTCCAACAAAGATCAAAGAGGATACGCGGGCTAACATGTGCGGGATCTTATAGGCGAGGTGGTAGGGCTTCCATTCTATCAAGAGAGGAAACATCAGTGAGAGGATTCAGGGCGAATGGTGCTTTAGCATACCATCAGTTGGGGGCAAGGATTCCTTCAATGTCGCACCAGACTGCTTGGAGAGCCGAAGTGAAATGGACCCTGTTTAATTGGGAAAGATAAAGTCAATTGTGTCTCTTGGGTGAAATATATAAAGACATACCGAGCGCCTGGGTCAAACTGGTCCGCACGACCTCGACCGTAACTTTTAAAGCAGTGCCATTGTGAAATGGTTCAAACCCAGGAATGCGATCGTTAAAAAAGGTCTATGGGCAAGTTAGCCATAGTCACGGCTTAGTTCCAGCTTCATGACTTGCTTTTTTGATGGAGTCTTTAAAACTCAGATTTGGGTTGCTCTTGATTTCATCGACAAACTTGTGGTGCAATATAACAACCGGGCTTGTGGCTCCGATGATCTGAAAGACATTGACTCCCTACGAAACGCTGTTAGCATATTCGAGGGTAGAGAATGTTACAGTCCATTGTCAAGACTCACCTTTGCAAAGCCTTCAGCCATTAGTTGGCGACATGACTGAGTGAAGAGTAGCCGGGCCTTTTTGTTGGTAAGGTCCCACCCGGTCTTTCCAACCAAAGGAATGCGTCTATAGGGAATCTCATCTGCTATATCTGCCCAGACACTTGTTATAAAGACCGCCACTAGGGCGATGCACACACCCTGTACGACATAGGGACTGTTGAGCAATTCGCTGATGACTGCCATAGTCAAGGTCAAGACTAAAAAAAAGTGGGGGACAGTAGAAGCGACACCCCTGTTTTCTATATTGTACAGGACTAATATTCTCCGAGGGGCTTCTCATTTATAAAAGTCCTGAGCTATCAGCGATTCAGGGAGACTCCAAATTTTTATTTTATTTTTCCCCCTCACGGGCCTCGCACTCGATATTCAAACCAGGGGGGTCCACGTAAATATCAAATGCTACATATCAAGTTTAGCTAACTAAGTTAAATCAAAGCCAAGCATTGGAAAGCCACAGGTCCAATAAGGTCTAAGCTGACCCCTTTCATCGGATCGACCAAGTTCTAATTAAATAATATTATACTCCCAAGTTATGTATATAGCTAGCCTCACTGCAAAAGTGGGCGAAATGTGAGAACGAGACCCAGATTAAGCGATCTTTACCCAAACAGGCAATTCTTGAAATGGTTTCTATTCCGTCTGGGGTCCACTCGCATATGCAGATGTCTTTCAAGCTATAAGCGTGCCAATGATAATAGAGGCCTATAGATTCTGCAAGTTCAACGGTAGAATCGGAGGGGAAATTACTCTGTACTCCGTGGTACAATAAAGAAAATTATTTGTAACCAGCATTTTTAGTAAAAATGTATCACTAGCAAAGGACATTAGTATAACAATATAAATACAAAAGTTATGCATCTATAGAATATGAAGGCCTTAACTAGCCCAGTTATAGTAATGACATTAGGCTAAGATTTTGTTGCATTCCGCCAAGACCCCGCATTCGTCAACTCTCCTTCCCCTAAATTTCCCCCCCCTTGAACTTCCTCAACTTCAAAACGTGAATATGGGAGACTACGGTACTGCTTCATATATACTCCCCACCCCTGTTGGCAACCCACCACAGCACTCCACCTCACCTAATGAGATAACTGTTCTAATAACAGGCTTTGGGGTAAGTGGATCTGCACTTCTAGTTATCCAGCCCGAACTAATAGTGTAACCCAGCCCTTTAAGACAAACCTTGTGAATGCGTCATATCTAATCGCTTCCTCTCTTCCATCGTCTTTTGATTTCCCCTCGGATTCACGTCGAGTCTCACTTCATGTGCATCCCACTCCAATCCCAGTGGCGTATGCCACTGTTCGAGAGACCCTTCCCTTAATTCTCGAGGAGTTTGCTGCCTCACATGGTGGTCGCAGACCTGATTTGATTATTCATATCGGCATCGCCGCTCCGCGGCAATATTACTCCGTCGAAACTTTAGCTCACCGAGATGACTATAACATCACCGATGTCAATGGTCATCCCGGCTATATGGATGGCGAGAAGCGATGGAAAGGGCTGGGTCTACCGCCTATTCTGACCCCAGGTCGTGCTGCAGATGATCCCTCCTCTGCTTCGCCTTACCAGCCCGAGGACCAGTTCCTGGAGACGTGGCGCTCTTTTGCTCCCAAGTCGGATCTCCGGATCTCCAAGGACGCAGGTCACTATCTGTGTGACTTTATTTTCTATACCAGCATGTCTTTAGCCCACTTGCAAGGGCAGGACCGCAATGTCCTGTTCCTCCATGTCCCTGGGTCGTCTGAGGATGCGGATATTGAGCAAGGCCGGGTTGTCACACTCGCCCTAATTAAGGCAATGGTCACATGTTGGTTCGATAAGAAGCATTCGGCATGAACAGATTGCAGTATCGCAGTCAGTTTTGTCTTTGACATATGCCGGGTCCGCCTAGGTACATGTTAGTTTTTCTTCATATCCGGTACTCGGCTTCAGCAGTTGCTTTTACTGGACTGATATGCATTTTCGGTTCCTTTCTCTCTTGTTTATTGCATATTTATACGTTGGTGTTTTCATGTGGCATTTCCCAGATACCATGTGTCTAATTCATACTTCCGGGTTCTGCTATTATTGGACATAAAGCAGTTACCAAATGTAGAATAGTAGGATAATGCAGGGCATATCAACAGAACACTATAATAATGAACTAGAAGTACCACATCTCCCTGACCTAAGCACCTCAACATAAGCCCTCGTAACACCATATGAAAGGCGGCACTCCTTGGCAAAACCAACTTGTCACCTCCTCAGGGCCTGTATAACCCTAACATCTTCCCAAACAACAAACATACGTCAGTCACACAACATGGCGTCAGCAGTAATCTTAGGCCTCATACTCCTAATTCCAATCATCCTGATTCCCCGCTTCTCAGGATGGCCCAAATCGGTTCAATACCCAACCAAACTTCTCCGTTCATGGCGCCAGCGCCCCAAACAATCCAGCGAGATCATCTCGTTGCGCATGTATCCCATAAAATCATGTCGAGGCCTAGAAGTCCAATCAACAGTCCTAAAGCAGCACGGTCTCGACCTTGACCGCCGCTGGATGCTCATCGACGCATCCTCAAATACCTTCCTAACCATCCGCCAAATCCCGGATATGACCCGCATCCGCACCGCTCTAAGTGCCGATGGCGACGAGCTGGTCGTGAGTATCCCGAAACTAGGCACCAATGAATCTAGCCAGGACAAATTGAAACATCAAGTCCAAGACCAAGAGCATCAATTCCACACAATCCGCATCCCTTCCCATCCATCCCCGCAATGGCTAGCGGAAAATACAAATCCGGGCCCCGTCCAGATCTGGGATACGCATACAGACGGGTACAGGTACAGCCATGAAATCAACGCCCCCTTTTCCGCTTTCCTGCGCCGCGACGTCGCCCTTGTCTACAAGGGCCCGACCCCACGCGTGCTGAAGGGTAACGGTGCACCCAGCCGTCTGGGCCGCGTCCAGACAACCGGCTTTCCGGACGTGCACCCAGTGCTGATTGCGTCGGAGGCTTCGCTGGCAGAGCTTAATGTTCGTCTGGGAAGGGCGGGCGTTGACCCGATTACTGTCGAGCGGTTCCGCCCGAATATCGTTGTTCGCGGCGGAGCGCCGTGGAGTGAGGATTCGTGGAAGTTGGTACGAATTACTGGTCAGAAGGCTGGTGATGTGCTTGGTGGTTCTGCTGGTGATGGCGAGGCTGTTATTCGGCCTTCGCTTGATCTGGATATTGTGGCTCGCTGTGCGCGCTGCCAGGTGCCTAATGTTGATCCGGATACGGCGCTCAAACATAAGAAACAGCCATGGGATACGCTAGTTTCGTATCGTAGGGTTGATGAGGGGATCAAGTATAAGCCTTGTTTTGGGATGTTGAGTGCGCCGCGTAATGAGGGGACTATTGAGGTTGGAATGAAGTTGGAGGTTTTGGAGGAGACGACTGAGCATCGATATATGACTGGTTTTTAGAGGGGTTCTAAATGAATCGTTGTGATTCGAGGAGACTGTATATAGCTACAGAATAAGGAATTGTAAGCTCAAAGGTTGGAATGGCAAGCATGAAATATTTTATTATTTCTCACTCCCCGTGATGTATATCCTGGAGTATCCATGGACACTTATTTTCCAAGCTTCATGGTGTATCAACTTTTATGAGACTGAATACGACTTGTCGATGTTTAGTTGATATATATATTCCTGATATAAAAATCAGGGAGGGGGATACTAGATAGGACGTAGTAGTGATTTAATACCGAAGAACCGTTGAATGAACATGATAATGACATTGACATTGAAAACTAGCGACAGATCATACTCGCAAGCTCTATACAATTGGAAGAAACAAAGCCTCACTTCAACTGCTTGCTCGCAGAAACACACCAGTTATTCCACTCCGAAAAGAACGAGGGCTGCACATGACACTTAGTGCTCATGAGCTGATCCTTGCGAGTAGCAGCGTAAACATCCACAACACCCGCGATGGCATCCTTATCATGTGCAACAAGCACCTTAGTAACAAGCAAACTAGCCTGGCTGCAAGCAGTCGCATGGCCCATAGGTCCACTGTGGCTAGCCTCCTTATGAACAGATCGGAGCAGCTCCCAGAGCGCCTCTGCCTGTGCATCGTCCTCGATTTTCGGGAGCGAATTGCCCTTGCACACCTTCGTGTACTCGCGCAGCACTCCATTGGCCTTGGTGGCGATCTGCTTCACGCTGGTCCGGCGAGATAGTCGGAGCAATGGCAGGAGGATATCTAGCGCGAGCGGGCGGGTGTGGCTCTTCTTCACGAAGATCTCTAGCAGGTCCAGGACGCGGTTCTTGAAGTTCACCATGTTGTCGCGTGCATCTTTCTTGTCTTTGCGGTGAGAGGTTTCTTGGCGACGCGCGCGGAATACTTGCACCAGCTTGTCGTCTAGCTCGTCCATCTCATCATCGTTCATGTCGGAGTCGGACTCATCATCGTCTGCGCCGTGTGCGCCGAGAGCTGCGGCGAGTTTGGCTTCGAAAGCGGCGACCTCCTTTGCATCTTCTTCGTTGTCTTCTTCTTCTTCCTCCTCCTCCTCCTCCTCCTCCTCGTCGTCGTCGTCATCTGAGTTGGAGCCAGAGCCGCCGGCTTCGACGACCTCGACATCGCTGTCGAGCTCATCCTCGTCGACATCCATCATCTCGGCATCGTCGTCTTCTTCTTCCTCGCCTTCATCGTCTTGCTCTTCGAACATCTCTTGCTGTCCAGCGAGACTCTCCTTTGCCTCCAGAATCTGGGTCTAGTTAGAAAATGCATGTCTGATAGAAGTTAAAGCCACATACCGAGGTCAAAGATTCCAATCCGTTCTCCGTGATCTGGTCAGCAAATGCGCCAAACACCTGCTCACTCATACGACGGAACAGCTGCGATTGCTTGGATGCGAAACTGAGAAGGATCTCAACCAACGCATCTGAGGCATCGCCGGCGTCTTCCGTCTTGGTTTCTTTGTCGCCTAGGAATTTGGTGTAACAGAACTCTAGCTCATCAAGCATGGATACCGCGTCTGCATCTCCGTTGTACACCTGCATGATAGTCATAGAGTAAAGCAGCTTGAAAGCGGCCATACCCTTGTCTTTCTTCTCCTATGTGGTAGTCAGTACGAGTAACTAAAAAGACCGATGAGGAGGAAAACCATACCCTGCTGGATAACTTCTTCAGAGATTTGAAAGCAGCCTTCACAGATTCCGACAGCTTCTCATCGATAGCGATGATGAACTTGCCGAATTCACCAGACTTGGCTGCATCGCGAATCTGCTTCACCACAGCATACGGGAGTGTAGCGGCGAACTTTTGGTTAGAAATAAGGCTGTTCAAGCAGGAGTTGATTCGATTGCGCAGGAGTTCTTGTGTCGCCGATGAGAGAGCAGGCTCAGGGGCAGTGGAGCTCTTGCCGGCATCCATGAAGTACGCAAAGCGCACGAAAATGGACAGAATCTGCTCCAGACTTGCTTGGAGGTCTTCGGCATCATCTTCGGTGGCAGAGGCCTTGGAGCGCACAATAGTCAAAAGGAGACCAGCGACAAATTGACGGTTGGATGCGGCGGTTTTCTCGTCGGTCGTGCCGGGGTTTTGAATGAGTTGCTCAAAGAATGGGACAATCTCTTCCAATGCTTCGTGGTTGGCTTCGGCAACAATCTTCTCAACGGTCTTGGTTTTTGTAGCCTGGTCGAAGTTCAGCGTGCCGCTGGTTCCCATCAGTCCACGGACGGCCGCAGCTGCGAATTCAGGCTCCTTGGACACACGGGCCTGGATTGCCTTCGCGGTCTTAACGGCCATTCGGTGCAAGTACCGGTCCTCCACAGCGAGCTGGTTCGTCAAGCATCGCATAAGATTCTTGGTAAAAGTCTGAGGGGCCTGCTTCGACCCGCCATCGTTGAGAATTCTGTTGAAAAGAAGGAAGCCCCAGTATTTACGCTCATCCGAGGACGCAGCAGCAAACAAACCATCTGTAGTGAGTTTTTTTGTCAGTTTTAGGTGTCTCGTGTATCATTCCACTGCTGGATAGGTACTCACTGTCCACAACCTCAGTCCAGAAATCAACGAAGGTCATACGAGACTTATTCGACTTGTCCTTCACCTCAAGACTGGTCCGAGAGATGACCGCATCCCAGGCGAAGTGAAGCTTGTTGTTCCAGACGCCAGAGGACTTCGCAGTGCTCACCTTGGTCTCGCCGTCGCCGACCGCAGCACCCGATTCCTTCATGATCTTTGACAGACTGTTGCGCTCCTTCGTATCCAGGGGATCGTCATGCTTCCAGACCTTGCTCGGGAAGGTGGCTTCGGGGAACATATCCTTCGCCGCCAACCATATAGCAACACCCTCAGGCGAGCGGGCGAGGTCGCGCACGCACAGCTGCTCCAGCGCAGACTGGATGTACTTGGGTTCCATCTTGCGTGCGGCCAGGTCGTAGACACACTGGTAGACAATCCACCCACATTCTTCGCGGATCCATGGCTTCTTCTGTGCGAGCTCGAAGACAAGATCGACGACCTGGGTCCATTGCTCAAAGGGCACGGTGGGCTGGAACAGAACGGAGGATTTGATGATCGCTTCAGCGCCGAAAAGACGGCCGAAAAGGTGGTCGCGTTGTTCCTATATGAAACAAAAAGATATCCTAATTAGCGCACGCGACGTTTTAAATCATGTGTGGCCACCAACCTGTCCCGACTCGCTGCCGGAGGAACTCGACTGAGACTCCCAGAGGTTCAGTGCATCCGAGAAGCCGAAGCGTGATGTCTCTCTTGGAGATGAGAAGACCTGGCTCAGAATCTCTGTCAAGGCAATTGAGAATCCGATACGAGCAGCTTTGCGGCTACTGCAGAGACCGC